CCCACAACATACTTTTTTTTTAATCTGTGCCAAAAAAGATGTGTTTTCAAAGAAAATCTTATTTTCATACTCCGACTTTGTATTTGTCACTCATTTGTAAGTGCGCTTCATTTAGACGTGGGCTATCCTGCCTGCGCCCAACCCGTGGAAGGTGTTACCCATTGTACAGACTTTTTATCTGCCTTCTCTCTGGCCCTTCTTCTCCTAAGACTTAATTTATGGAACTGTTTTCTCAGCGCAGTTTTGCTTTGTGTGTCCATTGGATTACAGACTTTATTAAAAAAGACAAAACATTCTGGTGTTGACGGCTCTCTGCAAGAAAGTGGGGGTGCCTAGGCTGCTTTGGGTAACATGTCGTTAACCTCCTTGCCCCTTACCAAGCAGCAGCTGCTTCTGATTCTGAGGCGGCCAGAGGCCTCAGCTTTTTCTCAGGGCCTGACAGAGCAAAAACGTGCTTCGGGAGACAAACCTCTGGCATCAGAAGGCCGTTCTGCCGGAGACCCGCTGAAGAAGAAGAGTTAGAAAACCTTGGCTGAAGAAACCGTTAAAACTCAGCCAAGCCAGTTTGTAATTCTGAACATAGAAAATAACAGCCTTTATTTCTTCTCAGTATTAATGCAGATGTAGTCTCTCCAATACAGAAATATTTTTTTTTACATCAGTCTTATGTAGCACTCGTGGCTTTAAATAGCGGTCTGTGAGCGATGCCAGAAAGTTCAGAGGGGGGGAGGCTGCGGCTGGTTGGAGCAGAGCCTTTCCAGTCCTTTTGCAGGGGACAAGGGGTGCTCCCCAAGCTGACGCAGGAGTTCTGCTTTTGGCATCAGTCTTGAGGCTGAGCAGCATCTCCCGTCACTCTCCAGCCTGCGGTGTCTCTGGCAAGGCTGGCGATGCATCGCTCCCATCCCGTGCCCGGAAGAGGAGCTCCCCGGATGGGATGACCTGCTCGCCGTGCCAGGCGGTGGTAGTGCTGTACTGTTGGTAAAAGTCTGTGTCTGCCTGGAACATGACCAGGGCTTGGGCTGTGTGAATGCGCACGTGCTGAGCCAGGCTGTTGGCATCTAGGAACTTCTCTCCGCAGGAATCGCAGGCGTAGAGGATTTGGGTGTTGGGGTCTGGAATGACAGCCATACGGGAAGACTTAGTTTCTGGGCACCCTGTCTCCCCCCGTTCCCTTTCCTCCGTCAAGAAAAGGTCCAAATATCCAGCGTGAAGCCAGAGTCCACCCGTTGATTAAAAGAATGTTTTCTGTTTCAGAAGCAGATTTCTGCATCCCTTTGCTCTCAAGGTAACCCAGGAGGGAAAAGGCCAAGCAAAACCTTTTGCCTGGTCAGGTGCTGCCCCCCTGTGGCAGACTTGTTTTAACCAGCTCCTGGGGAGAGGTTGCCTGGCCTGCAAGGCCCCCAAAAGAAGCCGAGGGGCGGCTCACGCACCTGCCTCTTGGACTTGTTTCACGGCCTTGGTGATCTCTGCCTTCAGCGCTTCCGTCTCGTCGGCTGTGACCGGAGCTGCTACAGGGACGACTAAGGAGAGGACAGCCCGGTCAAGATCGCGCCCAGGTAAGGTGTGGCTGGCCACTCAGCCTCCCCACAGAGCACGTCGCCCGTCCCCAGGTCTGGGGAAGAACTGAAAACGGTAGGACGTGGGGCAAGGTAGGGAATGCTCAACAAAATTATGCCCCCCCACTTCATTAGACCAGAGAAATTTGGACTTAACAATTCAGTTTTTCAGATTTCTGAAAACGTTTCATTTGCCAGGGGTGTAAAACCTAGATTTCGTAGGCCTCACTCAGCCAGTCAAAAACAAAGGGGGGGGGGCAGCGGCAGTTTCCCTCTCCTCACCAGTGAGCTGAGTGACCGCCGTGGCGGCCAGGGCTTCCGTGGCCAGGGTCACCATCTCATCCGAGGCCACGGTGACAATGTTGAGCTCCTCGCCTTCACTGGGCTCCAGGAGCTTCATCCCTGCTTTGCCTTGGTGAACCGTCTTGACGTGGGAACGGAGGTTATCCACCCGGTTGAAGCCCCGGCCACACTTGTCGCACAGGAACGGCTTTTCACCTGGTGGAATTGAGGCAGGGCTGTGTGAGCGGGGCTGGGCGCCTGCTGCTTCTTAAGCAGCTCAGGACTCGGGGCGGAAGGGCCTGTGGTCCAGCTGGCTGGCTAGCAGCCTGCGCGCAGGGCGAGGCTGCAGGCTCCCGCCGCTCACCTGTGTGGATGATGATGTGCTTGGACAGATCGCCCACGTTGACGAAAGCTTTGCTGCAGACACTGCACTTGTGAGGGCGAATGTTGTCGTGGTGGCGGATGTGGTTGGCCAGCTGGCTGGACTGGACAAATCTGCAAGGGGAGGAGCTGGGTCACAGGATCGCAAACAGCAGGCGGGTATCCCACCGCCTCCCGGTAACTTTGCGAGGTCCGTGGCATCTGTGCCTGTTCTGCAGAGACTGCGAGGATAGTCAGGCCTCATTCTGTTCAGGAGGGCACATGAGCGAAAGAGCCTCTGGCAGCTTCCCAGTTCACAGCGGTGTCTGTGCAGCAGCCCAGACCCCGACCAGCCAAGCACATGCCAAACAGCCAACTGATGCCACGGCTGCCCTTCCCCAGGAACGGAAGAAAACCCCGGCATTCGGTGCCGTTCCTCTGTCAAGCAAGCCGGCCTGGAGAAGATCCACTTGAAAGCAAGGGGGTGATAGGAGCTGGCTGACAGATTGGTTCCAGGAGGGACGTGGGGGGCAGCAAAGCTTGCAGGAACCCCCTCACCTTTTGCCGCAGCGTTCGCAGACGTAGGGCTTTTCCCCGGTGTGCTGGCGCACGTGAGCTATTAGAGAACTGGCCTGGGTAAAGGCCTTTCCGCAGATCATGCACTGGCAAGGCTTCTCACCTGGGGAGAGAGAGGTGTGTGGCAGACCCCCGTTCTCGGATCAAGGGCATCCTGACCCTTGGGCGTCATTACCCAGTCTGGCAGAGCAGGCGCCCCTGGACAGCACACAACAGTCCCCGTGTGGGAAAGTGTGAGATTTCTGCATTGTTCAGAAATTTAGCAGAAGAAAAGGTAGATAAACGTAAAAGACCAGAAAAGTGTTTTTAAGAAATTCTAAAGATGTCCAATGCTTCAAAAGAAACGTTAACCATGACAGCGGGTCCAGGATATGAAAACTACAACCAAGAAAATAAAAGATTGTGTGCATTTTCCAGAAATTCTGTGCCACAAAAGAGTTTTGATGAGGATAAAAGTGGAGATTTTCACACTTTTTTCAGAAATGGAAAGGTTCAAAATAATAAGATATTTGGGACACAAATAAGACATAAGTGGAGGACTTTTGCTGAATTTTTCAGGGTTACAGCATCACAAAGCAACAAGGATCAGAATAATGTGAGTGTATTTTGAAAAAATAAGGAAATCTAACCTCAAAAAGAAACTTATGTTCAGCATTATTGAACCTCCCACAGTACAGCTGAGTTTGGAGAACAAGGGCTTTTTTTCTGTGTTCAGAATGCTGTACCACAAAAACTTAAAGTAAAAATGTTTGTTTAAAAACTTGGCTATCGATATACCCTTTTTGTAGGTCTCGAAGAAAATCCTTGACTTGGGTACTAGTCTTGGCTGCAGACCGGCCGTCTGTGAGCCAGCCCTTCTGCCCTTTCCCTGCCTGCCTGCCTGCCTCCAGAGACGAGGCTGGCTGGCAGGGATCAGATGAGGAAATGCCCTCCGCCAGCACCCAACTCCGGGCTGGAAAGCTCCAGGCGCCGCACCCAGGTTGCTGGGGAGCCTGGTGGTTTCTTGCAATTCAGCTCCAGGATCTGTGGCAGAGAGAGGCTGTTGCTGCCATCGGGGAGCTCTCTGGAGGGCCAGCCGTTGTCTCCTCGGAGGCCCTGCGTGCCAGCCAGCCCGGGGCTCGAAACTAACCTGTGTGGATGCGGACGTGGCGCTGGAGAGCTCCTGGGTCAGCAAACTGGCGCTGGCAGTGCACGCAGATGTACGGCTTCTCCCCGCTGTGGATGCGCAGGTGGCGCTTCAAGTTACCTGTGGGGAGGAAGGAGAAGGGCACAGCCGCTTGGAGGCTGCCTGCCGTGGGAAGCTGCCTCAGTGCCCGGCCCGAGTGAGCCCGCTTCCGGGGCGGGGCCTGTGCCCACCCTGCTCTCCGGCCTCAAGGTAGCTGGCCCTCGGCCGGACCCGCCGTACCTGAGGTAGTGAACTGCTTCCCACATTCACGGCATTTCAGGGGCCCGTCGGCAATGTGGATCTTCAAGTGGGCCTTGAGGTTTCCCACCTGCCGGCAGTCGCGACAAGCGGATGGTGAGCACGCAGGCTGCGGCATGCGCATAGCCTCCCCCAGGCAGGGTCCAGCAGGGGTGGCGGCAGCCCCTACCCGCTCTCACCTGGTTGAACATCTTCTCGCAGTGAGGGCACTGGTGCTCTTTGTCAGTGTCGTGTGTTTCAAGGTGCCGCATTTTGGAGGTGGGGTCGGAGAAGGAACGGCCACAGTAGTCGCACTGGTAGGGCTTCTCCCCGCTGTGTACCAGCTGGTGGCGCTTCAGGTTGCCTGAGGTGGTGAAGAGCTTCCCGCAGTCCTCACAGCGGTACCTGGCCTCCCCCGTGTGGCGCTTCTTGTGCAGGTTCAGCAGGCTGATAAGGCGGTAGCTCTTGCCACACTCCTCGCAGCTGTACGGCTTGAGCGGGCTGCAATGTAGGAAGAGGCAGGCATTGACGACTGCCTCAGCACAGCCAGACGAGCCCTCGAGAGCCCGCTCAGTGGCTGGGCTAGGAAGAGAGCAGAGAGCGAGGAAGGGGTCGTGGATCAGCTTGCCCCGGGAGACCACCAACAGCCACCGGCTGAGACAGTCCTGGGTTTTCTCGGCACGGGATTGGAGCCACTTGGGCAGAGCCGGGAGGGACTGGCGTCACGTGGTCTCCCTCCAGCAGCTGCAGTCAGCGGTTCTTGTTTGCTTCCCAAGCAAAGTTGGAAGGCCATCAGCTGGCGCCCCCCTTCGCCCACCATCACACCTGTGCGTCTTCTCGTGCGCTTTGCAGGCCGCTGGGTCAGAAAAGGCCTTGCTGCATTCTCGGCAGGAGAAGGGCTTCTCTCCCGTGTGGATGCGGATGTGGCGCTTGAAGTTTCCCGTGTGGGTGAACTCCTTTCCGCAGTCCTGCAGGAGGAAGGAGAGGCACTGCTGGCCCGCCCTCGCCAGGCTGTCCAACCCACGGGCCGGCCTGCCCCTCAAGCGCTCACCCGGCTTCGCTTGCTCGGTGCTTCCCTGCTGGAACTCTTTGCTACCTGCCCGTGTGCCCCTCTGCCAACCCAGTGAAGCTCAGCGTCTCCAGGCAGCACCTACTTTCCACTCTCTGCCCAGGCAAAAGAAAGGCCAACGGTTGAGAGTTGGGATTTCTCCCATCTGTAGTGCTGGACTCCAGGAAAGGCATCGAAAAAAACACAAACGCCAGATGAAACCTTTTCCCAGTTTGGGGGCAGAGAGCAGTGAGAATTTGGTCTCAGAAAGAAAGTGGGGCTGCAAACCCATACTCGCCCAGAGCAGTGGATGAGAAGACCAGCCGGACGCATCTTCCAAAATGGAGGAAAAGGGCCTCCAACCTGCTTGGGCCATTTGCCCTTTTTGACTGAGCAAGGGTACCGCTACCATCTGCTCTTGCTGACCTTCCACCTGAAGCTGCCAACCAGCCAGGGAATGTCTTGTTTCCGCCAAAGGAGCTTTGCCACCAGACTGTGGGCTCTCCCAGGTGGCTTTTGCTTTGTCCCACGAATCTGATGCTTTGGGAACGGTTCTTCTCCTTCAACATTTCTACTCTTTCCTGATGCGATTAATGCACCTGCAACTCACCTCGCACTTGTGGGTCACTGAGCCATACGTTTTCGACTCTGTCCTGTCGCTGTATGTTCCTGAGCGCAGTAGCCTGGCCTCCCCCACGTTCTCCTGCCCAGAGTCAGTGCCCCCAGACTCGGTCTCCTCGGGAATGCTGCCATTGGGCAGCCTGGTGGCTTTGGGCTCTGCTTTCTTGCCATGCCCCTCCGCCTCAGAGGGTGGATCTTCTTCCTCTTCGCGGCCTTCCAGCTCCACCTCCATCTCGGCAGGGACTTTCGGCATTGAAGGTTCTGGAGGAGCAAGGAGGCAAGACTGAGCTGACAGGGAAAAGAGGCGGCTGCTTCCTGAGACCGCCCCAAGGCCATCTGGGAGCTCACAGCCCTGCTCCTTTGCGTTTACGGGCCTCTTCCAGAAACTGCACCAGAGAACAGCCAGCCTGTTCTGATAAGAAGGTCTCAAGACCAGACCTATAAAGGCTACACACAGAACCATCCTTGGACTGTGTAATTATCACCTCCTCAGAACTTAAGTCAACAGGGAGATCGCCTAGATCACCCAAAGGAGGTTGGTGGCTCTGCTTTCAGGCTTTGCACGTTGGGCACGAGAGGCGTTCTGTGCTTAGCATAACCTTTCCACTGTCATTCCATTGCCTGACCTCAAAACATTTTGCACGCCTCCCTTGGGCACTGAGGCGTGGCAGATTTTTTTCTCTCCGTAACCTCACGTCCCTGCCTTGGTGCTCACCAGCCTCCCTGGTCCTAGTGGGAAGAGCTCTGGAGGTCTGGCGGTTTTCTTCAGTGGGGGGAACGCCTAACTGCAGCTCCTCCGGCTGTCCCTCATTCACATCTTCCCCCGCTTTGTCTGTATCTGGAAAGAAGGGGACCGTCACAAAGATGGCAGCACCATCGAGAAACAAGCAGGCTTGAGGAGCAGGGAAGCAGGAAAGGAGGCTTCAGGAGAGCAAGGAAATGAGGTCACTCTCAGGGGCAGAGTGGGGACGTTTCCATGAAGTCTTGGAGAGTTTTAGCTTAGGGAAAAAAGCAATAGAAAATAGAATAAAGGTGTTTAACGTTATGGCAAAAGGAGAGAAAGAGAGACATCCTTGTCTTCTGGTAGACCCAACAGACTGTCCAATAAAACTGGTCAGTGGGAGATATCGGGGAACTGAGAAGGAAAGGTCTCAGGCGGGATATAGTTCCTGTGGAACTCGCATCAACATCATTCTCAGCTTATCCCAAGGAAGCAAGACCTATTTGAAATGTTTCAGTTCTCTTGAGACTTGGGAGAAACCAGGAAGGATGTTCCATGCACAAGAAAAAAAGCTGCTGCTGCTGCTGCTGCTGCTGCTGCTGCTGAAATTGCCTGTTCTCCAGCACCTTTTCCCACCAACCTTGCAACTGTGCTCCATGCCCAGTAGGTAATCGAGAACGGGCCCCTGGCCCTTACCTGGCCTTTTGCCAGCTGCGCGGTCCCCCTCCGCTGCCTCTTCCTTCGGTGCCTCTGCAGGACTGGTTACTTCGGCCCGCTGGAGGCTGCCGGAGGAGGCCGGTGGGGGCTCCTCGTGCTCCCCGGGAGCTTCCAACTCCCCTTTATGCCTGCCGTTGGCTCTTTTCTCCTGCCCTGGGATGGAGAGAGAGGAAGCCAAGCCAGCTGTGACCACTGACACCTCTGGCCACAAACCCAGGGAGAAGCTCCCCCACAGTGGCGACCACTCCCAAGGTCTTGTCTAGCCCACTGTGGTCCTCCTGCAGTGGCAATAGTTGCCACTGGCACGTGTTCTGTGGTCTCAGGGCGGCCATTTGCAGACCCCTGCGTTTGCCCGTATCTAGTTCATAGGCAGAAGGAAGTGGGCGTCTTATCAGCCCAAGATTGTCAGTCCTGGGTGGTCCTATCTGTTCACTGTAAAAGCGTACATTTTCTGGCTCAGCAGATCCATAGTTCTTTATATAATGATAGATCCCAAATTTCCAGCATGTAATTCAGATTCACATTCACATCCTTAAACCATATTACTCTACCCAGAACCATCTTAAGAGACTTAGGAATCCCACACCAAAAGAAAACCAGCGTGGGCAAGCCCATATGGTGCGCGTCACCTCCATCGTTTTATGCTTCCAACGCACCGAAGCCGAGGGTGCTTTGAGGCCAGGAGAGCAAAGCCAACCCCTGCTTTGCCACCTGAGCAACCTCCCGCCGGCCTCAAAGCAAGGAAGTCGGGTCCTGCACGTTGCCAGGCATTTGTGGTGCTGGCGCGTCCCCGTGTTTTCCAAAGGCCGTAACGCTTCAGCCAGCCTCCCACAAGGACGAGCAGTCCCCCCTCTTTCCCCCCAACCAGAAGCACCCCCACCCCGTGGAAAAGATGTCCCTTCGACCTTGCCGGTGGGGGGGGAGCTGCAGAGGTTTCCTGGGCCTGGTTGGAGACAATGGCTCCCCTCCCGCAGGCCCAGGTCCCGGAAGCGAGGGAGGGAACCCAGCCCCACAATAAGAAAGTGCCCTACCAGCCACTGCTGGGGTCTCCGGGCTAGCTCCCGTGGGTGCCGAGAGGGCCCTCAGCGTGTTGCAGGCCTGGACGATCTCCTGCATTTGAAGGAAGCTGCCCACAGCCAGGACGTCCTCCACGTTCTCCGAGCTCAGAGTCAGCTTGGCCGTGTACATGAACTCCAGCACCTGCTCCAGACCTGCAGTGCACACCGAGGAGGGGAGTGCCAGGCGGCAGCCACAGACCCGGCCCCTCCCTCACCGCTTCAGGGCGCCTCCAAAGCACAGGAGCGAATTCCAAGGTTTGCCTCGGCCCCCCGCCTGGCTTCTGTTATCGCCGGTTGGTGATGCTGCTGTAAGCTAGAGTGCCTGGGAACCTGGGGGCTCTATTTAGCTTCTGCAGCTACTGTGTGAAAAGCGGGACCGGTGGCTGCCTGGCCCTAGGGCGGGCCCCTGGGGCTCACGTCCTGCTTCTCACCAAGGCTGCCGGACTCCTCCAGCCGGCCCCTCGCCCTGACATCCTGCATCTGCAGGTAGGTCCTCCGTTCACAGATTAGGCCCTCCCCTGTGTGAGTTACCGGTTCTTTCCTACAGCCATTGCTGCACCCCATGTCAGCATATGGGATACGAAGGATTCGTTCTGCCAGTGCTTTTTAGAACTGGTGCTTTTTAGAATTTTTGGAGAAGGAAAAAAGTTCCACGCTCTCCTCCTTCAGGCAGGAGCTGTGGCAGAAGCGTGCAAAGTGGCTTGCTTGCTCAACAGGGGCCGGTCCCCTCTGGCTCAAGGAGGAGGGAGACCAGGCCCCTCAGCGCATTCGGCCCCTCCAGGAAGGGGGCGGAGCAGTTTGAGCACCGGACAGGACCTGGGAGACCCCGTCTCTGGGTCCTCGCCCGCCTGCTGCTAAACGTGCCTCGGAGGAGGCGGGGGCGCTGCCCTTGGGGAAACCAGCCCGGTAAGGGGGCCGGGGAAGGGGCTCCTCCCCCCGTGGGAGGCCCCACCTGCCGCGTTGCTGATGTCCAGGTGCACCACGTCCTTCTGGTCCACGAAGAGCATCCTGAAGTACTCGCTGCAGGCCGCCAGCACCGCCTTGTGCGCCTGAAAGACGATGCCCTCCGCCGCGAAGGTGCAGAGGCACAGAGGGCCGAGCTGCCGCTGCTGGTTCAGCTGCTCCAGGACTTGC